GAATACTTGCTCCATTCAGACGTCGCCTAAGGACATAAAGAAAAAAGTGGAAATCATCCCTTATCTTACCACCTGAGATAACCACTGTTGACACTGTGGTGTGTGTCCGGCATAGATGTTTTTCTATGCATATTTTTGCATTCATATAGAATACAGATGAAATCCTGTTAGCTATGTGGTTTTGCAGCCCGTGTTTCCCACTTAGTAACAGCCCACAGACATCCTTCCACATTAATAACTGCAGATCTTGATCATCGTCTTTTCACAGCTGCACAGTCTGGGGTGAATTACATCTCCTGTGCGATCGGGCTATTTCCTCAGCAGCATCACCAGACATCTTCTCCCCACCTGGCTTTCCACGTTCAGCCACACGGGCCTTCGTCTGCACACTGGAACACTTATTTCCACTTCGGGGACTTGGCATTTGCTGTTCTTTCTGCTGGAATTCTCACTTCCTCTTTCACATAATTAGTTTTGTTCTCTTTTAAATTTCAACCGAAATGCTTCCTCCTCCAGGAAGCCTTCCCAGGTATCCAAAGACCAGGGTTGGTCTTCCTAGGCATACACTCAATTGGTTCCATGTGCTTTGCCATCTTGGTATTATAAAAATTGTAACTAAATATACAGTTGTGTAATTTGTTTTTATTTTTCTTACTAGAATATAAGCTGAGGAGGTCAGAGACTGTGTCCGTCTTGCTCAGCTCAGAAGCTGCAAAGTACAGTGTTAGTTTATAGCAGTCACAAGTATATATACTCACAGACAAAATGGGAAGAGGAAAAGCAAGAGACAACCACAGACACTAGCCTATATGGAATGTCCACATCCTTCCACACAAAAGGGGGATATATCAGCTGGTTACTGGTTTTGGCATCTCTTTGTGAACATGAAAACTATAGGTGAAACAGACAGGAGTACATTCCTGGTGTCTGGGCACCCTCTTTGTGCTGGCTGCCAGGAAGCTCAGAGCCAAGTCTGTGTCCTGCCTGTAGCTGGGTCTGCAGCCCCACAGAGCAGGGTGTTCTGGAACATCACTCATCGAGGCTTCATCTCTTTCCCTGTCCCCCATTTTCCTTCTCCCCAATATCCTCTACTCATTCAAAATGTTTACTCTATGTAAAGAGAACTCTCTGCAACTTTTCAGGCCAGGAAAATGTATAGATCTAGGGAAGTCCTCAGAGCTCACCTCGCCCAAGTGTCCAAGCAGGGAGACTGAGGCCCAGGGAGGGGAAGGACATGCCCACCTTCACACAGCTGGTCAGTGGAGGCCCCGGGGCTCCTGTCCTTCCCTGCACAAGGCAACCCCAGGCTCTGTCAGGTCTTGGTTTAAATAACAGCTCTGGTAACAGAAAGAATTTGATCTTGGGCAACTCAGTTTAAGTCTATAAGTCTTGGTTTCTTCAGCTGTAAACCGAGGACTGGGAGGCACTATACCATAGTAGTTAAGAACGTGGACTTGGGGTTTGCTGGCGTGAGTTAAAATCTCAGCTCTAGCGCTTAGCTGGGTGGCCTTGGACAAGTTGCTTAACATTGCTCCTAAATCTATTATCTATAAATTGGCAAGAAGAACATTCTTTTTTAAAATATATCATTGCAAAAATTATGTGATAATGAATAAGAAGTATTCAGCGCAGTATGTGACACAGCAACTCCTCAATGAAAGGGTAACATGATAATAAAAGACGTCACCCACCAGTAATCAGAGAGAGAGGGCGAGATGCTCAGTGCTCTCAGGCCAAGACCTACCATGTCGTCTCTCTGGAAGGCTCCCTCTCTCCCTTTCTCTTAACGTGGTTTTAATCAGAGGGTACTCACCGCTCACAAGGTATGTAAACTGTTCATACATTTATGTCACCAAGGACACTATGGCACCACACAACATCCTCTCAAGGACGGACCAGAGGAAAACTGTTCTGAGGCCTCAGAAGGAAGAATAACTAGGGTTTTCAAACACAGCTGGTCTGTTTTCCTCTTACAGACACCACTGACCTGCTTCACTCTCTGTGTTGGCTGCCAGGAAGCTCAGAGCCAAGTCTGCGTCCTGCCTGTAGCTGGGCCTGAAGCCCCATGCAGCAGGCGTTCTGGGGAATCCCTCAACCGGCTTCATCTCTTTTCCTCTGCCCCCATTTTCCTTCTCCCCAGTCTCCTCCACTTCTTCAAAAGCTTTACTCTGTGTTTAGAAACTGCCTCTAATCTTTAAGTTTTTGGGGAAAATAAATGGCAGTTAAACTTCATAAAGACTAAAAGCAACGTGGTATGCTGGATTAGACTGGATCCTGGAACAGAAAAAAGACATGAGTGGAGAAACTGTGAATAACGCCTGTAGTTTGTTTAACAATATTATACGGATGTTAGTTTCTCAGTCTTGACAAATATACCACGGCTATACATGATGTAAACATTAGAGGAAGCTGGGTGAAGGATAAACAGGAACTCTCGGCAACTTTTCACTACGTCTAAAATTATTCCAACATAAATTTATTAAGCAAAAATTCCATACAGAATATAATCAGATTATTTCCCCCTGGAGTCCCAACAAAGCATCACTCCTACCTGCTAAAAGCAAAGCAAGCACCTAGATCCAACACGTTTCACAATCAACTAGACCCGGCCGACACTGTTGGAACATCTCCTACCTATCTGGCTGGCACAGGTCTAGAACCAGACTCCTCATTCCTGGATGGAAATCCTGGCTTTCCCTCTCACAGGCTGTGCAACTCTCCGAGTCTCACCTACTGAGCCTGTAAAATGGTGCTCACCAAAGGGTAAATGTTTGAGGGGATGGATACCCCATTTTCCACGATGTGATTATTACACACTCATGCCTGTATCTAAACATCTCTGTATCCCACAAATGTACACACCTACTATGTACCTGCAAAAATAAAAAATAAAATGGTGCTCACAACAGAACCTACTTTCACGGGAGTATCATGAGGTTAAACAAGTTAACAACGTAAGGCACTTGGAAGAGCACCTGGGAAAGAAGACACATGCTCCATGTAAATTACCATGTCTATAACAGTGATGATAATGATGTTTGTCTGAGTCAATCCGGGCTGCTATAACAAAGTACCATAGACCGGGTGGCTTACAAGCAACAGGAATTTACATCTCACAGTTTTGGAGGCTGGAGTCCAAGATCAAGACGCCAGCAGGTTTGGTGTCTGGTGAGGACCCACTTCCTGGTTCACAGACTGTGCCTTCTTGCTGTATCCTTACATGGCGGAAGGGGCGAAGCAGCTCTTGGAGCCTCTTTTATAAGGGCACTAATCCCATTCATGGGGCTCCGCCCTCATGATCTAATCACCTCCCAAAGGCCCCACCTCCTAATACTATCAGCTTGTGGGTAAGGATTTCAATGCATGAATTTTGGAGGAACACAATCTATGGCAATGTTTACTATAATAATTAATAAGAATTCCTCATTTGAGCTTGCAATAACCCTGAGAAAGGAATGTTACCTATTATTATTATATAGTAATGGGAAGCAAGGTTAAACAAGTTAATGATGTAAAGCACTTGGAAGAGTAACTGGGAAAGGGGAGACAAGGTAGATGTTAATGATTATGTCCACAATGATGATGATGATGATGATGATGTCTGTTGTCCCTTTGAGCTGCTATAATAAAGTACCATAGACTGGGTAGTTTATAAACAACAGAAATTTATGTCTCGCAGTTTTGGAGGCTGGGAAGTTCCAGATCAAGATGCCGGCAGGTTCAGTGTCTGGTGAGGGCTTACTTAGTATTATACAGGAAAGGGAAGCCCAGACAGGTGGAGGGACTCTCCAGGGTCACACAGCTACGTAAGCAAAAGCAACAAAACTGGGACTTGAACCCAGTCTTCCCTACTGCAAACCCAGAGCTCTTCCCACAATGCCTGTTTCCTAAGAGAACCTGACGGACATATCGTCTCTGTACTCTAGCCTGTCTGCCATGACGTGACTTGGTGGCCACATATGACCTTTTCTTCTTGTCTATGTGGAAAATGAAAACTCCTGATACCAGGGCACGCAAGGAAGGCCCTTTGTTACAAAGACACAACCTCATCATGTGCTTCGTTCCCCCGGCTTTGCACACAGACTAGGCATCCATCTAGTCAGTCACCAACAGTCAGACACGCGTGGTCCTTCGGCCAGCCACTCCCATCCTTCCCCTTCACCCATCCCTCTCTCTCACACTCCCCATGGCCTGGCTCAAAGGCCACCTGTGCCATGGTCACCACTCCACATCGCTGCTGCTGTGGCATCCCTGGCATCAGGATTTAGCCCAAACACATGGTACTCTTTAATTTGGTGATTAGTGTCCTGGGTCCAGCGTTCTGAGCAGAGTCTTGTCTCTCTGAGCGAGTTCCCAGGCTGCCCTGCAGGGTGCTAAGTGAGGGCTTTGAAATTCAGAGGGCCTAAGTTCAAAGTCTGCTCTGCAACCCACCAGTTGTGTGGCCTTGGACAGGTCAGTTTAACCTCTGTATGTCTCAGTTTCCCCAACTGGAAAATGTGGGTAGTAATACCCTACCCCCTCAGGGTAGGGTGAGGAGCCAACTAGATGGCATGTGTAAAGTGGATCGCAGACACTGGGCACACAGTTAGCCCTCTTTAAAATGGGAGCTAGTAATATCATTGTGATAACTGCTGGTTGTCCGGATTGAATGCCAGGCCTGAGGCTGCCCAGGGCATCCCCAACCCAGCCCATCACTTTCTCTCCTCTTCCCTCTCCACATGTCCTAACAAACCCTGAAGTCAAGGCCATCACAGGCCAACAGCAGTGTTTGCAAAACAGCAGCACAACAAGTTTGGGCTGGCCTGCTGCCCACACCGCGTAGGCGGCCACCCTGCTGCTGCTGTGAGCTGTGAATTTAGAGGTAGAGCAGCCAAGGAGGGCTCCCCAGCTGGGACCAGTCCTCAAGGTGGGGTGCTGATTGCTCTGCTGGAGATCTATTTAAAATCAGCAGCAAACAGCTCCAAGCACAGAGCTTTCCCTCCCTCGGGCCCTCCCCTCACCTTGAGCCCGCTGCCTTCTGCTTCAGAGCCTGGGTCCACGCCAGTGATGTAAATGCCAAGGCCGTACTCAGCTCCCCCACGGATCGTGAGGCCGAGGGACCGGCCGTCCCCCAGCACCAGGTTCACCTGTCAGAGGGAGAGGAGAACATTAGAGGGACTGGGGGACTCATACCTTCAGGCTGCAGAGCCCCCTCTCGTACTCTGAAGAGCACATCTTATCCGGCTGGCAAGGAGGCCCAGGCCAAGGCCTGGAAGATACCCTAGAACATTCCAGTTCCTGCCCCAGCTCTGCCTCTGACTTGATGGGTGACCTTGAGGAAGCCCCTCACCCCTCCTTGGTCACAGTTCCAAGTGCAGTGGGGGGAAGGTGCTGAGAGAGGTGGCCTCCGGGATCCCCTCAGGGCCAACACCCGAGACTACTTAGACATTTCTCTCATGTTCTTCACGCCACAGTGGCCATGTTCACCTGAGGCTTCAGTCAGGGGGTGACTGTTTGCGCCCTGGGGTCTCAATGAGGCTCCATCTTCCCTCCTTAGGATCAAGGTTCAGGCCAGGCTCAGGGCAGCCACCACCCTGCTTCCCCAGAGGTCTCCTGTCACCCCAGGGGTCTTCTGTCACCCCAGAGATCTCCTGCCACCTCAAGGGTCTCCTGTTACCTCAGGGGTCTCCTGCCTCCCCAGGGGGCTCCTGTCACCCCAGGGGTCTCCTGCCTCCCCAGGGGTCTCCTGTCACCTCAAGGGTCTCCTGTCATCTCAGGGGTCTCCCACCTCCCCAGGGGTCTCCCATCACCTCAGGGGTCTCCTGTCACCCCAGGGGTCTCCTGTCACCTAGGGGGTCTATTTCTCCTGACATCTGCTGTCTCCCCGGGGATCTTCTGCTCGGCCATCCATCCTGAGGGACCATGATGGTCCCTGGCTCTACATACATAGGGTGTACCCACTAAATGCAGTCCCAGTGCTGGGGCTTGGAGATGAGACAGACACAGTCCTGCTCGTGAGGGGCCTGCAGTCTAGTGGTACAGTCGACAGGCCTTCAAGGTACAATGTGAGCAGCGTGTGACAAAGCTGCTCAAGGGTCACGTGGGTGCAGAGAAGGGGCAATGGTCCTGACTGGCATGGGGGGTGCTTCCTGGAGAAAGTGGCGTCTCTGATAAGATGGGAGGGTGAGCGAGAGTCAGCCAGTGGGGGAAGGGGAAATGGAACATTCCAGGGACATGGGACAGCTCATGTCAGTGCTCAGGAGAGCAAGCTCCATCTGGGAGGAGGTGAGTCGCAGTGGCCAGAGCAGGTGCTGGAGGACAGGGTGGGGCTCATGAGCACAGCGGGCTGGCTGCGGGCAGATTCTAGAACGGTTCCTAATCCATGAGGGAAGCTGCAGGAACGTGCAGGTTAAGTGTGTCTTGGGTATGAAAGGAGAATTCATGGAAAAGAAGGCAGGAGACCAGAATAGCTGAAACCTAGCCCAGAGACAAGACACACAGTGACAGGTAAGCGATCCAAAGAGAGCACAATGTGACTGCCCACGGGACAGGGAGTGGTGGGGGAACCTTCGGGCACCAGGAAAGAGCACATTTCATTAGGGAAAGCCATCCAAACCAGATTTCTATTTTGGAAGTTATTCATCTAAGAGTTATCAAGTGTTCTGTGCCCTTTAAATGTGTTATCTCATTGAATTTTTCAACCACCTTGAGAAGAGGTGGTGAAGAAGATACTCAAGTCCCAACTTCCCAGGGGAGGGCACAGCTGTGTGACCTTGAGCAAGTTACTTAACCTCTCTGTGCCTCAGCCTCCTCACCTGAAAATGAGGATGACAATAATTTATCCGCCTGTCTTATAAGGTTACCATGAAGAAGATCAAATTAAGAGACAAGTGAGAGCATGTGGCTACTCTCTGACCCCTAGTAGATGCTCAATAAGTATTAGTTACTGTTGGTTGTGTTGCACACATGACAAGTCCTGTTAGGAAACAGTCGCAGCCACTGTAGCTATTGCTGCCACTGTAACAAATCACCACAGTCACAGCCTAAGAGCAACACAGATTTGTTATCTGACAGTTCGGGAGGTTGCAAGTGTAAAGTGTGCCAAAAGGACCACACTCCTCCTAGAGGCTCCAGAGGAGAACCCATTTCCTTGCCTCTTCCAGCTTCTAGGGGCCACCTGCATTCCTTGGTTCACAGCCCCATCCTCTATCTTCAAGGTTGGCAGCACGGCATCTTCCAATCAGTTGCTCTCTGCTTTTACCATCACATCTCCCTTTCTCTGACCTCCTGATTCCATCTTACAAGGACCCTTGTGATGATACGGGGCCCACCCAGACAATCCCCCACGTCAAGACCATCACTTACTCACATCTGCAGCATACCCTTTTGCTATATAAGGTCCTACTCACAAGTTCCAGAGAGGAGGAGGTAGACATCTTCAGACTTGGGGATACTCCTATAAACCTTTTTCAGGCAAATCTTGGTCTCAGAGTCTATTCCCAGCAGCCCAGCCAAAGGCAGAGCTCCTCAGAAATGTGACCACTGAGCCTTAAAGGCTGGGGCAGGGTAGGGGGGCAGCCAGGGACAGAAGAGGGAAGATGTCATTCCAGAAGCAATGGCATGTGCTAAGCCCACACACAGGACAGTGCGCAGCCCCCTGGAGTCACCACACAGGTCCTGTATGGCCAGAGTGTGGCAGGAGAATGGGGAAAATGGTTGAGATTCGCCTCACTGGTGAGGGTGCCACAGGCCAGGCTAAGACGCTGGGCTATGAGCAGGACAGTGACAGGCTCCAATGTGGACTGCAGGAAGACTCCCAGAAACAGGGGACAGGAGAGGGGCGACTTTCTAGAGATCTCCCATGAGAAGTGGTGTGTCTTATGATGGTGGTGATGTAGGAGGAAGGTGGGGTTCAGATCAGGGACCGAACAGAGAGGCTGGCTGAGGACACAGTAGGCAGCTCCTGCCTTGATCCCCGCTCCTGCCACACCTGGCAGAGCCCCTTCCTCCATGCTGCACCTTAAGGACTTGGAACAAGCCAGGCCGGCTTGGGGTCTACACACCCAGGATCTAGCCCAGCTCCTTGGGTGACCTGCAGTCAGTCCCCGCCCATCCCAGCCCACCGCCACGCCCACCCCGGGGCCCTTCCAGCTCCAGGACAAGAAGATCCCGGTAGGGAGAGAGCTGAGAGGAGCTTGGGCGTCTTTGCAGCGAAGCCCAGGAACACGCAGATGGCAGCCTGTGTCTGCAGCAGCCCACTCTGAACACTAAGGATGAAAACAGGCCGGGCACGGTGGCTCAAGCCTGTAATCCCAGCACTTTGGGAGGCCGAGACGGGCGGATCACGAGGTCAGGAGATCGAGACCATCCTGGCTAACACAGTGAAACCCCGTCTCTACTAAAAAATACAAAAAACTAGCCGGGCGAGGTGGCGGGCGCCTGTAGTCCCAGCTACTCGGGAGGCTGAGGCAGGAGAATGGCGTAAACCCGGGAGGCGGAGCTTGCAGTGAGCCGAGATCCGGCCACTGCGCTCCAGCCTGGGCGACAGAGCAAGACTCTGTCTCAAAAAAAAAAAAAAAAAAAAAAGGATGAAAACAAACCTCCCCACCTCTCTGCCACCTCCCCATAAATTCTTTACATCGGAATAAAATGAGTGTTTATCACGGAACTGTAAGAACAGTTCTATCAAGCACAGGGTAATCTGCCCTCAATCACCTGCTGAAAATTCAACCAGCATTTGGCATGAGTCGGAGTTCATCTATGGGAAAGCAAACAACGCTGTGAGAGGTGGCCTGGCCCAGTGAAAAGAACACTACTGCTAATAATATTAATAGAACAATAACTCACGAACTTGGTCACTAAATGTACTGAGTGTTTCCTATGTCCCAGACACAGAGCTCAGCACTTTACATGCATTACCTCATTGAATGCTCATTCCTCCTCTATGGGTTTGTTGTTATACCCACTTCCCAGATGAGGAAACTGAGGCTCAACTCTGAGGGGTGAAATGATGGGGCTAAGATTCACAGACTCAGCCGCTTGGCCTGCCTGCAGTGCCTGGGCATTTAACCAATGCACCACACTGCCTCTCATGGGCCCGAGTTCAAGTCCTGGTTCTGCCCCTCACTCTTGGGCACCCTTGGGATAAGCCCTGTTGCTTCTCGGATCTTCAGTTGCCCAGTCTATAAAATGAGAATTGTGCAACCTGCCTGGAGCCAGCACTGCCTGTGGCCAAGCCAGCAGCCCTCCCTCTTCCTGCCTTGCATGGAGCCTCAACTATGTCCAGGAGGCAACTGGAGCAGCTCCAGGAGATGACACCAGTCTAGGCTACCCATTCTCCTCTACCAGGGACTGGAATGGATGTAGGTAGTTCTGGGCCAGTTTTGGCCAAGAGGATGTCTGCTATGGGATTCTGGGTAAGACTCTCCACTCTGAAAAGACAGGAACACAGGAAGAGAAGGCCCTCCTGCTCCCTCCACCCACTCTGCTTTGGGCACAGTTGTGAGAGACTGTGATGGCAGGAGCAGTGGCTGCCATCTTGCAGCTGTGAAGCAATGAGCCCAAGGCAAGAGTCAACAACAGGAGGAAGGAGGGACTCACTCCCTGGCAAACCAGAGCTGGGGCTGCCCAGCCCTACACTTCAGAAGAGAACAGTGAACACCGGAATGTGTGTGCTCCTGTAATACAGGCTTTCTGTGATCCGCAGCCAAAAGCACCCCTAACTGATAGCACCATCCAGGGCTGTTGTGAGGATGAGGTTGCATGGGCTCCCCACTTCCACCCTTGCTCCTGCCATGTATCCTCCATCCAGTAGCCTGGACAGTCTGGCTGGAACCTCATACGCACCAGGTCCCTCCTCTGCTCAAAGCTGCGCCATGGCATCCAACTCACTCAGAGCAAAGTCCCCAGACTCCGCCTGGTTGCCCGTGCCTGCTGCCTCGCTCCTCTGTAATCCCGTAGGTCTCGCTGCTGCTCCTCAAGAGGCCCTGTTCATCTGCCTGAGGGCTCCAGCCGCCTCAGACAGGATGGATCCATGTACGATCACTTCCTCGTCAGCTTGAGACCCTTTCTTTTGTCACCTTCTTAGTTAGGCCTTCCCTGCCCCTTCTCTAACACTGCCCGACGCATACACCACCCTCCCATGCCC